GAATGCAGGGTCATATTTGTGTGCCTAATATGGATGGGCTTCGTGAATTAATTCTTGAAGAGGCACACAGTTCCAGGTATTCTCTTCATCCAGGTACCGCCAAAATGTATCAAGATTTGCGGCAACATTATTGGTGGAGGAGAATGAAAAAGGATATAGTTGCATATGTAGCTCAGTGTCTGAATTGTCAGCAAGTTAAGTACGAGCATCAGAGACCTGGTGGTTTGCTTCAGAAGTTAGAAATTCCTGAATGGAAATGGGAGCGTATCACTATGGATTTTGTTGTTGGACTCCCACGGACTCAGAGGCAATTTGACGCAGTTTGGGTCATTGTGGACAGGTTAACCAAATCAGCACATTTCATTCCAGTGGCAGTTACCTATTCTTCAGAAAGGTTAGCTGAAATTTACATTCGTGAGATTTTTTGCCTTCACGGTATGCCTGTGTCTATTATTTCAGATCGAGGTACGCAGTTTACCTTACATTTCTGGAGGGATGTACAGCATGAGTTAGGCACGCAGATGGAGTTGAGTACAATATTTCATCCACCGACAGACAGACAGTCAGAGCGCACTATTCAGATATTGGAAGATATGCTTCGCGCTTGTGTTATAGACTTTGGAGGTTCTTGGGATCATTTCTTGCCACTTGCGGAGTTTGATTATAATAATAGCTACCAGTCGAGAATTAAGATGGCTCCATATGAGGCATTATACGGAAGGCAATGTCGTTCGCCAGTTGGCTGGTTTGAACCGGGAGAGGCTCGGTTATTGGGTACCGATTTGGTACAAGATGCCTTGGATAAGGTCAAGATTATTCAGGATCGACTTCGCACAGCTCAGTCTAGGAAAAAGAGTTATGCCGACCGTAAAGTTCGTGATATTGCATTCATGGTTGGAGAAAGAATATTGCTTTGAGTTTCACCTATGAAAGGTTTAATGTGGTTCGAAAAGAAGGGCAAGTTGAGCCCTAGGTATATCAGACCCTTTGAAATTCTTGAAAGGGTGGGTGAAGTAGCCTACAGACTTGCATTATCACCTAGTTTATCAGCGGTTAATCCGATATTCCATGTTTCTATGCTCCGAAAATATCATGGTGATCCGTCCCATGTGTTAGATTTTAGCTCAGTCCAATTGGACAAAGATTTGACTTATGAGGAGGAGCCGGTGGCTATTTTAGCCCGACAGGTTCGACAGTTGAAGCCTAAGAGTTATCCTTCAGTTCGGGTGCAATTGAGAGGTCTGCCGGTAGAGGCATCTACCTAGGAGTCCGAGTCAGACATGCAGAGTAAATATCCACACTTATTCACCAGCTCACGTATTTTTTTTCTAACTCCGTTCGAGGACGAACGTTTGTTTTAGAGGTGGAGAATGTGATGACCCAAATTATTATCTTTAAATTTAATAAGTAATTCTGTGTTCTAAGACCTCAAAAAGCACCATTTATCATTCCTCGACTTGCGTGCGCAGTCCGTATAATTTTTCGAAAAGTTTTTATGTGAAAAATAGATTAAAATATGAAATAGAGTTTTAAAACTCAACTGAGCTGACTTTGGTCAATATTTTAAGCAAACGAACTCAAATTAGTATTTTGATAATTTTTGTAGGTCCGTATCGTGATTTAGGACTTGGGCATATGCCCGGAATCGAATTCCGAGGTCCCTAGCTCGAGATATAGAATTTTGATGAAAAATTAAAAGGTTGGATTTACTGATGTTGGATTTATTGACCCCGGGTCCATATTTTAGTTCCGGAGCCAGGTATAGGTCCACTTATAATATTTATGATTTGTCTGCCGAATTTGGTGAGAATCGGAGTTGATTTGACGTGATTCGGACGTCCAGTTGTGAAAATATAAGTTTTAAAGTTTTCTTGAAAACTTTCTTTGATTTGATGTCCGATTCGTTGTTCTAGGTATTATTTTGGCGATTTGATCACACGAACAAGTTCGTATGATATTTTAAGACTTGGGTACATATTTGGTTTGGATCCCCGAGGGCTCGGGTGAGTTTCGGATAGGCTACAGGATTTTGAACTTAGAAAATCTGATTTTTGAGCTTCTGCTGTCATCTCGTGCATTGTGCTTCACGATCGCAAAGCCATTCCTGCGATCGCGAAAAGAAAATTTTAAGCCGTGAATTTTACTATTCGCATTTGTGAAGATAGGCACGCGAACGCGAAAGGCTAGCTCCCAGTGCACTGCGAACGCGAGGTCAAAGCTGCGATAACGAAGAAGGAATGAGGCAGAAGCTGAAGTACCGAAAATAGTGCTACGCGTTCGCATAAACCTGTACGCGATCGCGTAAGGCTAAGAAATTATTTTCTGCAATCGCATGGCCTTATACGCGATCGCGTAGTGTTAAGCAAACCTGGAAAAATTTTGTTCTACGTGATCGCGAACGAATTTCCGCGATCGCGATGAATAAAAGTCTGAAAAACAGAACTTAAGTTCTAGAAATGGGGTTTCGACCCATTTTCAACCATTTCCAATTTTTGAGCTCGGGTAAGGCGATGTTTGGGCGATTTTCACGGAAAAATATTGGGGTAAGTGTTCTTTATTCTATATTGATTATATTTCATGATTTCATACTCATTTATATCATGAATCCGTGAATTTATGGAAGAAATATTAGATTTTTATAAAATCTTCCAAAAACGAAAATTTTAGATTTGAAGGTCCATTTGATATCGGAATTTGATAAATTTTGTATGGTTGGACTCGTATCAGAACGAGTGTTTGGATTTCGTAAGTTTTTCCGTGATTTGAGATGTGGATCCCACTGTCGAATATTTTAATGAATTTCGAATTTTTATCCGAAAAATTAGTAAATTCATATGAAATTAATGCCTATGATTCGTATTGAGTATATTGAATTGTTTATGAATAGATTTGAAGGTTTTGGAGAGAAACTTAAAAGGAAAAGCTGTGGTCGAGTAATTGATTGGAATTTGCAAAGCGAGGTAAGTGTCGTGGTTAACCTTGACTTGAGAGAATAGAACCCTTAAACTATTTGTTATGTGAAATACATATGAACGACGTAAAGGCGAGGTGACGAGTGTCTATATGTTGTCAAATTAATTGTTTACATAATTACTTGAAAAATCATAAATTATTTTAAATCATGAACTAATTATTATAATAATTGTTTCTCTCTTATTCTTTGTCAAATATTAATTCTTGAATTCCTACATTAATTGTTACATGCTATTTGAATTATGTGTCTTAATTGTTATTTGATATTTAGCATATTAAATATTAAACTGCCTATTTTTTCCTGATTTCCATAATAATTTGCTATTTGTCATTGTTTGTTTCATAATTAAATCATAATTATTGTATGCTTGTTGTCTTATAATTTTATATTAATTGTTGCATTTATTGGGGAAATTTCTTCTATAAGAATTGATAAATGGATATATTGGTGGATCGGGTTACACGCCGCAACAGAATTGATTGAAATTGATATATTGGAGGATGAGGTTGCACGCCACAACAAACTTATTAAAAAGTCCATATTGGAGGATCGGGTTGCACGCCGCAAC